TTCAGGAACGTAGTCCAGAATGAATCTCAATGGAGAGACAGAGCTTATATACACAGCAGCCGGAAGTAAACCCGTGGGAACTCGCCGGTTTCTTGACTCTGTTGCTAGGAAAGACGTAGCAGATGGCGATCCACCTCCCCTCCCACCGTATTGCTAGGATCCTGTAGCAGCTGGTGACCCCCCCCCCTTCCCCCTTGGCAGCTCGTTTGGTTGCTAGGATACTGTCGCATTGGAATGCGGATGTAGTTCGTAGGGGAGAGATCCACTACAATATGTTATTTGAAATTCTTATAATTTTTTTAAAGTTATTAACATTATATTGTAAAACTGTTTCTTGTCAGGGTAAACAATTTTAGAGTATTTAAGTCTGAATATAAAATTTTCTCCTATGCTAATAGGTTAAAAAGGCAACGAAACCATATATTTAATTTGTTTTTTATTCAAAGATTATCTCCATATTATTTCATACACAAAAAGTGGGTATTTCTTTTAATAAAGGATAAACAAATATGTCCGTCTCCCAGTTTCTTGAAACTCAACTTACATATTCAATCCAACATGGTCTCCTCAGGCAGATTCGATGTTCCTTCTACCAACTGAAGATCACACACGGAATCAGACATGGACTTATAACTTGAAGATGACCTCGGTTACATCTCTTCAGCCCCAACTGTTTTGTTTGCCTTTTCAACTCCAACGATGTCCTGTAGATTCCAGTCCCACATAAATGTGAATCTGGTTTTTTTCTTAACTTCTACTGTGTTGTCTTTTACCCCAACCACTTCGTTGATTTTGTTCTCAACCAATTTATATTTTTCCAACCTTTTCTTTGCTTGTTTTATTGGTGACCGTGATTCCTGATCATTAGGTGCGCGTTTGCACGGTTCCTGATAATTAGGTGCGCGTTTGGGAGCCTTCCTCCGCTTGACCTTTTTTTCTAGTTTCTGCCGGACTTCATCCTCCATGGTCTGTCTGTCTGTTTTGTTTTTCCATTCCAGTCCAACGTAATAGTATTTTTGCTTTTTCATTCTACTCAGCAGCCGAGACTCCACACCCATCCACCCTAAGTGTTGGCCGATGCTCACCGAAGAAGCTAATTGATAACCTCGGGAGCAGTTGTAATGAAAGTAGGCCTTATACAATTCACTCCTACATACCGCAACATTAATCCTTGCAGTATACTCGAAGGAATATTCAAAGAACTCTTCGAATCCTTGCCGACCATTGTACCCCTTAGGATACATTTTCAGCTTCTTGTTGAAATTTTCCACAGGGTTGTCTTCGGTATTGTTGACAGATTCGCCGTTATCAGCCATCCTGTCGTGAACAGAGAGGCAGGGGGCAGGGGGGGAGGCAGTTATCAAGGGAACCTAAGTGTAAACATATACGCAAATCAGTACATATAGCCGAGCTAATAATGTAGTGCAGACTAGAAACTGATAGTTATATATATATATATATATATATATATATATATATATATATATATATATATATATATATATATATATATATATATATATATATATATATATCAAAAATTGTTACGTGGAAGCGTAGTTTCATAACGATGAGAACCAGGGAAAACACAAACATCTTGACTTAGTTGGGTTTCTTTTAATCACTTGCGATGAATGTTGGGTGCTGCCCCAGTGTTGGGTGGGGAATTAGTGGGTCTTATGACCTGAATATGTCTTGAATGACATCATTTTTACCTGAGGTATATACATAGTACTACACTGTATTGTATATGAAGGGTACAGGTATTAATAAGCACAGATTATTACAGCAATGTATCTGTACTAATTAATGAAAAACAAATAAACAATATTGTATTATGAATGAGTCAGTACAGAAGGCAAACATTGAGATGACCCTTGTGGGAGAGAGGTGGCGCGGTCACTTATCCCCCCCTCTCCAGGAGGATAGATTAACGCTTATAAAATGTCACTGACTTGACATACGAGAATATAACTTGTATTGCTGGAATTCTTGTAAGATAGCGATTAATTTTAGTATAAACATCACTTGTTTTGCACCACACACACGAGAATTAACCGTTTTGGGGATGGGTAGTCACAGTCACTTTTACCCCCCCATAGACCCTTCTCCGTCTGGCTGGGAGGGGGATGAGGGGTGTCAACAGCCAGGAGATTAATTTTTACTCAAGGATTATGAAAGGTTTTATTTTTTGGGTTATAAAATGTCACTGACTTGACTTAAGAGATAGCAATTAATTTGAGTATAAACATCCTTATTTTGCACCATACATAATAATTTTAGTAATTAGCTTAGTACATTTGAGTACAGATTGTGATAAATTTGTAGTTGCAGTTTCAAAGCTTTGTGACATCACTAGTGTATAATGAGTTTCCATATGTCCTGGTTTATTCATTGATCAGTTGTCTAAGGGCAAAAGTAGCCCTGCTGAGCTATCATGTATCATTTAATTTTAAAATAGAAATTATAATGTTAAATGTTATAAGACAATGGTTCAGTTGTCTTGGCATCTCACCTCACCACCTGACTCCTGAACAAATTCTTCATCAACTTCTTCAAATCCTACAATGTGCTTGGCAATCTAAAAAAAAAAACACACACACACACAACATGGGAATTAAGACAACAAGCATCCGGTGAGGGTCTTGTTGTGTGACTGCATGGAGGCGAATTAAAACATCAGCTGTTGAGGAGCTTATCACTTGGCAACACTGGTGCATGTTATCACTTCTTTCCACTCCATCTCTCTAATCACCCACACTTTTCTGATTTCTCACTCCATATTTTAAAATGTTATGTAATGTAATGTTAAAGAGATACAACTTTGTTCATTTACACTTATATTTACCACAGTCTCGCCTAAAAATACTTAAGGTTTCATTTTTAATCAAGATATCTTCAGGTCATGAAACCCACTAATCCCCCACTCATGAAAGGGTACCTGACATTCCATCAAGTCAGTAATATGAGACCACTAATCCCCCACCCTACCTCCACCTGACTTTGAGCCAGGTCAGGTCCCCCCCCAAAAAAAATACTTTCATCTTTATTCAAGAAATTTTCAGAAAATTCTCTCGATTTTTCACCCTCGAAAAATTTGTTCCTAATGCCGAAAATTTTTGGAAAAAACTGGCTTTGGGAATGATTTTCTGAGCAAATTTCCATTCAGGCTCTCAGAGATTTCCGAGTTTGAGGGATCCGGCTAATGGAGATATTACTGTATGCAGTGGCGGCTCGTGAAAAATAAAATGGAGGGACTGCAAGCCTCACACCGAGTCCCCACCAAACAATAAGCATGGAAAGCAGAATAAAGTATTTGCCTCGTCACAACCACAGAGCCATTCACATTTCTGATAAACACTGATGTTAAACTGGCGTGTATATTCTTTGTTCCTGCTTGTACTGTTCTGAAATTCCATGCTTATTGTTTGGTGGGGACTCGGTGTGAGGCTTGCAGTCCCTCCATTTTATTTTTCACGAGCCGCCACTGACTGTATGTATGGGAGAAATACATATCTTGTAGTCTAATTTGAAAAAGGCGACAGGCGCAGTGATAATCAAATTATATAAACCATGCATTTACCTACGTTAACATAATAAGAAACATTGTATGATTTCTAGAGTGAATGAAATATTCCCACAAACAACTGACAACTGTTTATGTTTCCCACCTCCTTGGGCACCAGTGTCCAACGCAACCAACCTGTCAACCAGCGCCCACGGACCTAAAATGTTCTTTGCTCTGGTTTGGGAATGCTTCTTAGGGAGGCTTCTGGGAGGCTTCTTAGCCCAGAACTACCAACAATAAGACAGTTTTGGAAATATTTTAATATAACGAAAGCTCTGGAAAATATTAAAGAGGCCTGGAATGAAGTTTCCGACTCTGCAATGAATGGTGTGTGGAAAAAAATTTGGCCAGTGTGTTTACAGCTGCTACAAACCAGCATATCGTGCAACTGGTTCAGCAAGCAGGATTTAATGAGGTGGATGAGGAAAACAGTATCTGCTTGAGGGACATGGTGAAGACCTAACAAATGAAGAATTGCTACAGCTGGAGCCAGCACTCCACGCTTTCTTTAAAAAGAAAATGACAACCTCAGTTCCTCCACCGGTCATCGCTCAGTCAGCTGACACCGCCACCTCCACCACCACTGTGTTGCCAGCCACCTCTCCTCCATCTGCTGCCGCCACCACAACCAGTCCTATCACCCGAGGACTATGGCAGTGATCACAATGCCTCAGTGAAGAGGCAGATGATCCTGCCCCTAGCAATAACTAATTAAGTTTAAGTAACTGTGTTCCTCTGGCCTCAGAGAGGAACAACCACTGCACCTGTTTCTTTCGACATGGATTTGGTGAGTACATTAACAATATTTGTTGCAATTATATTGTCACAGAGCTTAGTACAGTATATTATTCTATCACAAAGCTTAATATAGGAACACATCCCCCCCTTATTACATTAATTTATATGGGAAAAATGGTTTTGATGAACATAATCCACCTAACAAAAGCATTTTAGTGGAACCCAACCCTTTTGTTCAGTAGGTACTTACTGAACTAAAAATTTTCCAACTCAGCTCTATTTAGTAACTAAAAGTTACTTAAACAATTTATTGTAAACAAGTTAGTAAGAATTATATTAATCCTTATTTGGATTTTCTCTTAGATGATAGTAGTTTAACTAATTGTACTCAACAACTCGATTACCACTTGATGGGTGAGACTTTTGACAGTGATGGCTTGTGGGGTCTCTTACCACTAAAGGTATTTCTGCTTCTTGTTTCACATAGTCATTTTCCTGATATACTTCTAAATAGAGTAAATCACTTGGAAAATGCAAGAAATTGCTGGAGAGTTCTGTCGAAGCTTGGAGCTGGATTCAAAATATGCTGTTGGATTGTATACATGCAGTAGCCAGTCAAACTGCTATAACACAATGAGTAATTTCATATAAATCATATATAAATAAAATAATAATACAAAAATGAAACACATGAATGTGTTAATTATATATTATCATAAAACACAAATTCAAGGAATACCTGTACAGGTACCTTGATCTTTTCATTGACAAAGATGTTTGAGTAAGCATCCAGTGTTTCTCTTTGTTGTAGTGAATCTTTCCTGTTGCCTTCTGTGTATATCTTGCACCACTCTCTCCCTTTTCAAGTTTCTATACTCCTTGCTCCACCATGCTCAAAAATGGGAGATGAGTACGATAGAGAACCTATTATAGATAACCTTTCTTTAATAATTTACATGAGTGAAAGATCCAAGACATTACAATATATTATTTATTGGCATTATAAAAAAAAAATACTAGCATCGAACTATGATAACTTAAAAAAAATAATTCTCATTGATTACAAGTTACTCTGAAATTTGTAAAATAATAATACTGTTTTCGAACATCTAGCTCTTCCCCGCTTCACTTTCATCTTCATCAGTTTTTTTCTCCACTTCACTAAGCTTCTTCAATTTAGCTACAAAAAAACCATCCATATTATAGCTGTGGGGGTATATTCTCTTGCACAGCTGCATCATAGGATTAAATCTGCAAAACATAAAGGCCAAGAATTAGTCACACTGTGTCAGTCAGCAAGGGCTATTAGAAAGTCTAATTACTCATACATGAATGGTAAGTCATGAAAGCTGATGTTATCTTATTATACTCTTGGGTCATCTCTACAAGAAAAATGTTACATTCCCTAATCTTGGGGCCACATTGTGGAGTGGTAATATAAGGGCAGAACACATGTACTGGATGCTATGTGCTATACTGTAACTTGAATCAGTTTACAAAGTTTTAAAGAAAAACACTAGCCACCAACATAAATTTAGATCATTACCCTTTGGCCATGAGGACGTTCTTAAGTTGAAAATGTACACAAGTTAAAACACATGCTATGTGCATACTGTACTTACAGAATAATGTTTTAAATCCCACTATATCATAACCTAAGTCCTTATCTATATTTAAAATCACTTAATTTAAGAGAAAAGAAATAGAATAACAAAATACATTAAATGAAGGTAAAAAATAATTCATCAGGTAAATAAAATACTGTAAATTTCAAGTTTAACCCCGTTCATATTGGTGATATGAACGGGGTTAAACTTGAAATTTACAGTATTTTATTTACCTCATGACTTATTCCCAAAATTCCAAATAGCAATAAATACAGTGTTTCTCTTTTATCTGTTATCATAACAGAACACAGCATAGTGACCTACCTATTTTCTCTGTAGTTCACATAACCTGACTTGCCAATATCTAAGCCAGTGGGAACCAGCTTTACGTTTCTTTTCTTAAGAGCATATTCGATTACTGCCTCATTCTCTTCAACCTGACAAAAGAAGAATACATTATGTACTAAGGTCAAGTCATTTATATCACTAAAAACAAAATTTCAAAGTAAAGTGGGTGAAAAGACCAAATCATAACAAAAATAAACCACAAAGCTTAAATACACCTATGAGTGACAGTGACAAAAATAATGTGTAAAACTCATTCTGTTTTATGATAAGAAAAAAATATATCTTTAGTTTAAATATAAAGAACCTTGATAAACCAGACTATGGGGCAGACCCCAGTCTGGAAAATGTGAGTCTAAAAAAAAAAAAGACATAGGGATCTCGACATAATAGTGCTAATCCGGACTGTTTTCGGAAAATCAGACACAAGTCTGGTTGTCGGCAACAGTTTTCAATGATATGACCGTTTCGTACTGTAAAGTGGTTTACCCATAGTATAAATAGTAAAAGTGCTTCTCCACGTGTACTGGGTAGGAGTGTGTCACCAACTAGGGCTGCCAGAGTGAAAAATCCTTAAAGCGAGTCAGATAAAAAAATCACAAGTCTGTCAGGTGAGTGATAATTTTGCATCATGCATATATGAAGGAGACCTTGTAAGTAGATTTTACAATTGTGAAAGGTTTTATATTGAACAGTTCTTCAATCTGCATGATGAGAATGCATGAATATTGATGTATACTTCACCTGACTTATCAAGCACCACCAACACAAGGAAAGATGGTGAATGGATGTAATAATTATAATTAACCCTTAAACTCCAGGGGACATTCCTGAATGTTCGCCTAGGAGACCCCAGGTGACATTCCTGAATGTACTTAATTTTCGTGATATATTTTGAATTACCAGGTGGGAGGAAATACAGTAAACCCCAACATTACTACCAGACAATTAGGGGGCGAGGGCGTACGGATGTGGCAAATGTCCATATAAACCTGGTGATGAAGGCATGTTAACGATAATCATAATATTGTACATGGAGTGTAATGATAATTACAACAATAATAATAAGGTATTAATAATTAAAGTAATAATAATGGTATTAAATAACAACACAGTAATGATAATACAGTAATAACAACAATAATTATACTGTATAAACAGCATGTGGCGAGTAGTAACGGGAGATGCAGACAGGGTCCATTTTAGCAGCAGGGGTGTCAACGTGGAATACGGACTGAGAGAGACCACCAACCAAAATCCAGATCTGAGAGGTCCGGAAGTGCAAGGGTTTGCTGTACTTTGCATGGGATTTTTGTGTAATTGGCAACTCAACTCGTGTGTATTTGTCTCAAGACTCGTGCCTCATGGTCAGTTACCCACCAGATATTGTGAGGGATGCATGTTCTTAGACTTTTCTTATGACCCACCTCACTCCACACTCAAATGCAAGAGAAGGCATTTGCTTGACAGTAGTGCTGCTCATCCAGAGATGCTTGATTTGATTGCCATTGATATACCTGTAGTGTCGGGTGACAAAGACAATGATGATGAGGAAACAGAACCCAGATGATGTCGAGGTGGTGAGGACAGTGATAGGCCTACAGATTGGCACTCCTTTCCCCTCCCCACACTACCAGCTACCATGAAGCACAGTGCAATGATATGGTGTAAGGAGTGTGGAGTTGCCTTGTGCATTCCGTGTTACAAAGACTTCCACACAATTAAGAAGTTCTAAATTCAGTAGAAATGCATGCAAATAGTGTATACAGTATATTTGAAAATAGTGATGAGAAGATAGTGATAAGTATTGTGCTGCCTGAATATTCCTACTGTGCACTATTTTATAGTTCTTTTGAGGAAAATATAAAGACATTGTTTTTTGTATAGCTATTAGAAATATGATATATAAGTTCCTTCAAGTTTGAATTATGCATTTCCTGCTCATTGTGGGCTGTGTTCACCATACACTCCAGACAACTCTCCAGCCATGCTACAATGAAAGATGAATATAAAGAACATTCTTCTGGTATTTTTCTTATAATTGATTAATATATTCATAAGGAGACAATGGAGTTTTGAAAAAAAGCGTTTTTACCAAACAATGCCTGTGCAGGGGGTTTGGTGGATCTTACGACACCCAGAGTCTAAGGGTTAATATTGTACACTAGCAATGAAAAAAAGTACAGTATATTATTATTGAAAAAATGTCATTTCAGGCTTTAAGTTCAACACACGTTCAGCCATAAATACATGGTAATAGTAATTTTTCCAGGAAGAGCAGAAGACGAGCAGGTATTGCATTGTCCATATGTCACGTACGCACGCACACCTGCCACACTCCATTACCACCAAATGTATCCATTTTCTGAGCTACTGTTTCCACCATTAAGAGTTTTTAAATGATGTCTCCACTCATTTCAAACACAATTATGGGCTAGAGGAAATTTTTTAGATTCAGCAGCCCCACCAACACATGCAAAAAGTGTTCATTGCACTTTTGTTTGCTTTCACCCTCACTATGTTGATGTCCCATGCCCCTAAACCTGTTCTATATGGTTACTGGAGAAATACAACCATATGCAAACACCTGTGTTTGGGATATCATGACTCAAATCCTAAATCCTCATAAAACAAGCTCTATCGAGTCTCGGTCTACATTATGGTACTAGCAATGACCGTTACACGATGGGGTTAGGGACCTCAAAAAGCCATCAATAAATGATTGATCATAGAACAATATTACAGATTGGGTATCCTTTATCCAAAATTCCTAAAGCTAAAATGCATTGAAATCATTTTTTTTTTCTTAGTTTTATTATATACACTGTTCAAACATATTTAATTACATTTATGGTAGAGAAGACACTGAATATGGCATATAACATAACTTTTACTAGGTTAAGTATGTATGAGTTATGAATAAAGGTTACTTAGCACCGTAGAGTCAGGCATCATGGCGATGCCAAACAGATGGAAATGAGTGCTTACCTTTCTGATTTTTCAGTGTATGTCTTATCATGTAAAGTTTTTCATCCACAAAATGAGAAAAAATATTTAAAAAAAACTACATGCAGACTATATGCATCCATATACTGTACTGTAAATGAAATATAAATTAATTTCGTGCATTGACTTGACCCCATCCACACTGGGTGAGCTACTGCATGATACAGGGTATACAGGATATTGGTATTCCAAAATCTGAAAATCCGAGACCTTTTCGGCCCCAAGCATTTTGGATAAGGGATACCCAATTGTAATAACTTATGGGGGAAATTACGTTCCATTCCTAAGACCCCAAACAAGTTTTATATCCTACTGATATTATGATTAAATAGTGTCTAAATAACTCAATTAAGTTATAAATAGCCTTATAATCATTAAATTAATACAAATTAAAGAGAAAAAATTATACAAAAAAGACAAAAACATTAAATTTATACAAAATAAAGATCTATTCTCATTTACCTTACAGAATATGAGGCATCATATGGGTTATTCGCGCCAAAATTTTAAACCACGTTTCAAGTTTTTTCCAATTTCAAACATGCATAACTTTGTTGTTTTTTGAGAGACAGTGCAGCATTAATTTTTATGCATTTTGAAGCTAAAAGACTGTGTACTTGCAGATGGTAGGTAGGGCATTATTAAGTAATGTACTGGATTGTTGCAATGTTGACTTGAATCAACAAAACTCCCACCCGCTTATGGCTTTTTTTTTCAATCGATATCAGAGTGAAAATCCCGCCCGCTGAAGGGGCCATGACGTAGATAGCAGACGCTCACCGTCATTGGCCGACACGGGGAAGGAGGCTGTAGGCTGGCCGCTGTGATTGGCCGCCTGCTCCTCTCACTCACTCACTGACGGGATGAGAGCACCTTATGATGCGAAAGCCAAGCCCATAATTTCCTGTCTGCCCCAAATCGATGTTCTACCCTATTTTCAAAGGGCTTTCAACCTTATTTAAAGTGTAGTAAGAAGATCTTATCAACTGCCATCGTATAGAACTCGGCCGAAAATAGTGCTTTCCAACAAAAACGGATTTCACCCAGATGGTCTGAATGCACCTTTATGCAGCCACTTGACCACTAATTCATCAATACCGTTAAACTGTGGAAGGGTTATTTTCAGTTTACGAAAAATCCAACTTACATATAAGTATAGGGTCCAGGAACAAAGATTCTTGTAAAGATTAATGGAAACTTGGGCTATTAGAACCACTTTTATTTTTTAGTGGCCTAAGGTCAGCTGATTATACTTACAAGGACAGAACAAGTGGAATAGACAATGTAGCCGTTCTGACCATCAAACTTGTGTACTGAATCAATGGCAGCCAAGATCAATTCCTTTTGAAGATGTGAACATCTCTGTATGTCTTTGGGATCTTTGCTGGTCTTAACTCTCTCATCTTTGCTGATAACACCAGTGCCTGAGCACGGTGCGTCTAGGAGGACACGATCAAAAGCACGGGGCATCATCTGGAAAATAACAGTAATGTTATTTATGAGAGACAAAATTTCACAAGTGACAGAGGTGAGTAGGTACTACTGGGTAGCTAAGAGAAGAAACAGTAACAGCTATCAAACAGGGAGGTACTACAGCCTGGGAAGATATTGGAAACATAATGTGATGTCTAATGGTAGATCCTGCTGCCATGTGGCATCACAAAAATTGTGACCAAATCCCAGGTTGCTGATCTGACTTTATGCCTCATTTACACACAGTTGCAGGGTCTCAAGTGTTTCTCTTACTTTGACAACACAACATACATACAGTACATCGTTTCTTACTATTGATTTTATTATTATTATTATTATTATTATTATTATTATTATTATTACTACTACTACTACTACTATGTATATTTAATTTGTATGATTTTTATTCTTTATTAGATTTTGTTAAGTTATTAATATTATGATTATATTTTTGCCCCCCACCCCAGGCCCTGATGTAGGTCATTGACCCATTCCTGGGTGGGCTAATCCCCGTAAAAAAAAAAAAAAAAAAGCATGACTTGTTACTAAATTTTTGCATAATTTTCCAGAATTATTCTTAATACTGGCTAGTAGGCTAATTTCTAATATCCATTGATAGGCATGAGTTAACTGTATCATGCTCCAGGTCACAGGTGATCTAAACCTAAGAATGTAAAGTAACACAAAAATAAAAGTACTGTACCTTTGGAAACACACGGCCATCATGTGAAATTATGACCGAGTTGGTGATCCCCATGCGGTGGAAGTTACCAACCAAGGCCTTTACTCTGTCACGGTTTATGTCATTGCAGACAACCATCCCTGTATTTCGCATTATTGCAGCTGTAAATAACAAAGTAATAAGAGGAATGTTTTCTATATAAATAACAGTACAACACATAATGCTGTACACCAATTTATTGTACATTGTTACAGGATAATTTGACAAAACATTAAAAAATGTCTTATAACACTCATAACTCAAAAATTTCAGTTAAACCCTTGAGTAAATTTTTTGCTAAAAGCCCTATGAAGAAGATCTAATTTACAAAATTAATAAAAGAAAAGAGGACATATCTATATACTATTAAGATACAAGAAAATCTAAAATCTTTAACTTACCAATTGTTTAACATATCACCTGTGTGTATATATTTTTATTCTTTCATCTCTACATTAACTCTGATATCAAGATTGCTGCCCAAATAACTTCCAACATGTGAATAATGGAGTAGTACTCTACAGTACTGGTTCTGCCTCTTGTGTACAACCTCTTGCCTCTAATACACCCATTTTAAGGGAGACAGTTTAGATGGAGTGGATAAGCATTCATAAGACCACCTGCAGCTTACTCATCTAGGGTCTACACCCTCAAACACATTAACAAGAGCCACAAGATGGAGGGTGTCACATTATAGGAGATCAACCATCAAGCAACTGGCTGCATAATGAAATAGTTATCCTGATTATCTAAGTCTCCTTCACCCATACCTTACTACAGTTGACCATCTATACTGTATAGTGTGATTTGATAATGAGCTTTCAAAACACAGTAGAGCAGGACCCTGAATTACTTTTAATTTTCATTATTGGCTTCAAAATACTGTACAATAGTCCATCACCCCAAATCATTACTTCAGGAAGAAATCGGACAGATTTGCAACAGCCAATCAGCTGTAACTCTTGAGGAGGGGGCGGGGCATCTCTTCTCAGCTGGGAAAAAATGCACTATAGTAACAGTTTCCTAGATAATCCCTGCTAAAATGGGGGGTGCATCTTATATGGTGATTTTTATATTATTTATCATTTTTATACATAAGGTACATTCGCCATAGGCTGAAGTTGGTTTTACTATATCATGTGGCTGAGGTGTCTCTGTAGGTGCGAGCATTTTAATAGAATTACTCTCAATTTAGCGAACTAGTTCACTAAATCGAACGAAAAACAACAGAAAAATTGCCTTCCGCTAAATCGAGAGTTTGTTATGTCAGATTCCGTTAAACGAGTGTATACAGTAGTGTACAGAGTGCTCCTCGACTTACGACCTACTCGACTTACGACCACCCTGACATACGACCGCCGCAGTCGTATAAAATATTTTTCAAATTACGTATTTTCAAGTCCCGACATTAGTGATCGCGCTGTGTACTAATAAAATTTTCGTTTGTAATTCCCTTTAAAATGGCTGGCAAGTATAAAAATGAGAGTTCTCGTGGTGCTGAGAAGAAAAAGAGACACCTATTTTACATTTTCTATGTATTATTTTCGCCTTTTCGACTTACAACCTGGTCGTCGGTCCGGAACCCCTTCATAAGTCGAGGAGAGACTGTACTAAGTACGTATGCTTGTTTCATTCACAGCATTGCATGTCAGGCGTGCATTCATGTGTGTGTGTTGATGGCGCAGTGGTGGTGGTAAGGTAAGGGCCGTGTGAGGCAGGTAGCAGACAATATCTCCGCTTCTGCAATCCACTACTTGCTTCACATTTTTTTTTTCTAATCAACACATAATACAACTGTATAAATAACTGTACATACCTGTGTGCTATTTAGAGGGCTTAAATAAAGTTTTTTCTATAATTTATAGTACACTATAATATTAAAGTTAGGGTATTAAAGACTATTATTCGCGAAATTCTACATTTGCGGGTGTCCCAGAAACCTATCCCTCACGAATGTTGAGATATTAGTGTACCGTCTCCCGCAGGCCACAGCCGACTTCTGTCATGGTTCTCAGAAAAATGGACTTCTTTAACAATTATTCTACTCTATATAAACAATGTGGCTTAGAAATAAATAAAATATAATATAAAACTACAACATAAAATAAGAAAAATGAAAAGAATGGGTGTGTATGTGTAAGAAGTGTGTGGGTGGTGGGCTATAACTACGTCTCTGATTCACCACCCTAGCCACTGCATTTATTGTTGCCTTTTTTTATTTTTGTGTACATTCTGTATGTAGGACTGTGTGCATGTAACTGAATAAAAATAAATAAATATATGAAGAAATCTAATCATCTACCCAAAATTACAGCTCTAATAATCTCGGCATTCCTCTTGACTGACTTGTTCCTGAAGAAACCACTCCAACAGAGGCAGCAGACTGGCATCTCTCTTGTTGAAAAATTTCTAACTTAAACGTGTGTGTGTGTTTTATGCATGTTTCCATCCACTTCTTTCTTACTCTTTTTATATCCCTCTCACCCTCCTTCTCCTCCCACTTAGGTGGATTGATTGTGGTAATTACAACCCTGGCAATGCAACAGCTTACGGATAGTCTTTGTAAGTTATATATGAAATGTATATGTTGTGTGGTAACTAGTTTGTCTGTGTGAAGCAGAGTGAACAAAGGAGGGATAAATATTGGATATGGCAGGGAGGCAATCTCTGCATCTCACCCCCCACCCAAAGTTGATATGACCTCTAAGCTATGTAGTCCACTCACAAATGTACTTTGTTGGATGTCCTGCCTTATACTGTATAGGGATGCAATAGTTACTAGTACAGTACATCCCTCGACAAAACATTGTAATCACTCATTGTTCCATGATACAGCACAATGCTTACACAAATGCATAAAATCCTGGATCACAGGTGGGAAGGCAGCAGCAGAGATGCTCACTCTAGGAACCCGGGCACGCTACTAACCTACATTTTCTCGCCTCTCCCTGCCTCTCTGATCCCAGACACAATTGCCAGATGTAAAAAAACGCAAATGATAACTAATTAAACATAGTGGGTCGATTTTGGCCATTCAAATTGTCGCCACACTCCTGGGCGACAAACAATAAATGATATCTCGTTCAGCGGTATTCCGCTTTAACAGCGGTCATGAGTTAAGACTATCTCACTAACATTGATAAAAAAAATTTGCTTTAATGATATACATTGACTGTAAAAAAAAAAAAATTTATCTCTAGTGCAAGCTGAACAATGGAGTTTAACAATCACAAGGACCATGAGGGTTAAATCAGTTAACCCTCCAGTCATCAAGCATATCTTGAAGTGATATCCATTTTCACAAGAGAGCTGACAGCCACTCACTCTTAATGCTCCCGCTAAATATTCTGAAATACAGGGCAACACCCAACTTACCAATATGAGTCGATTTGCCACCAGGTGCAGCACACATGTCCAGGATTTTCTCTCCTTCTTTTGGTGACAATGCCATTACAGGTAAGAAACTTGATGCACCCTAGGGAAGTATTTCATTGATTATAAAGTCTTATTAATCATTAAGGGAAATAGTACTCCAGTCAACTTCACACACATATATCTGATTGCTTTTACCATGTTATCTGTTACAAAAAGTATTTTTCACCTTTTATATCTTAAAACAAAAAAAGATTAAATTTGTGACTACTGACCTGAAGAATGTAGTGTCCAGCTAAGTACTCTGGAGTGGCACCCAGCGTCACATTGCCCGGTGTACGCATTACTATTAACCCCACCTTGGACCAAGAAATCAAATCTACGTCAATTCCTCGGGCAATCAGAGCCGCTGCTAGGACCTTCCGGCGTGTCTGTTAAGGTAAGGTTATCATGTATAACAGGAAAAAAAGGCAATAGTAAAATACTAATAAATGGCACAAAGTTCTGCCTTACAAAAACATTATAACACACGCACACACACACACACACACACATACTGTAATGGGAGTCTTCTTATGATTTTACTTCCTCAATACTGTATTCAATTTAGGTTAAAAAAAAAATTTACCAACATTAGTTTTGTTCCTCCATTAACTTGTCATTGCTGTTATAACTAACATTCATCCTCTAATAATCTGTTATAAGGTCACTGCCATATCTATTCATCATTCATTTATTCTTGTCTTCAATCTAAGGAACTTGAGAGTCAAAAACAATAAAAGCAGAAGTACACACCTTGAGTGTATTAGTGCGAACAGTAACAGGTCTGGGTAATTCATTTGCTTCTAAAAATTCAATCACTTCTGTAGGACCAAACATGTCCAACAACTTCTCTATCAGGAATGTGTTGTAGGAGTAATATGCTGAGAGGTCACTCTGGAAGATAGACATATATTCCGACCGACTTCGTCCTTCCTCACGCCTTTTACTGTGCACAGAAAACACGTTTGTTATTATATATTTGTTTTTCTTTTCCACTCCTGCAGACCTTTTGCACTATGGCATAAGGTGTCCACATTCCTGGACAATGATCAAACTCTTCCCTTAAACTATGATAAAATCTTGGAACCATATACAGGTGCTCCTCGACTTACGACGGGGTTAGGGACCCAAATCCAGGTCGTAAGTCCGAATGGTCGTAAGTCCGAATGGTCGTAAGTCCGAATGGTCCTAAGTCCAACATAGATAAAAAAAAATTTTAAAAAATTAAAAAAAAAATTAAAAAAATTTTCCCCCAAAAATAAAAAATCTACAATGAAATACAGTACCCTAAAAGTAATAAATAATGAGGAATGGATACAGTGTGACTGAGCACTTACCTTTAATGCAGTCAGCTGAATGCACATGGGGCCCCCATAATTTTCTAATTATACATGGTAGACTACATTAACTGGAAACGTTTTGGTATAGAAAATGCGGGCGTCATTTGGAAAAAATAAATAAAAAAATTTGGTCACAACTGTGGCGGTCGTAAGGTCAGAGCAGGTCATAAGTACCGATGGATGTAAGTCCAAGCAGTAGTACTGTATACAGTATCAATAAAAGAAAAAAAATCTGCTTTTCTTTTATTAATCCTCAAAGGGCGGCAGACGTCAAATAATGTTTAGGTTTTTTGCTCCATTGTTTGGATGCGCCTGTGGCTGTTGTTGTTGTCTGGTTACTACGATGACACTGGCAGTTTGCTTCGGAACCGGAAAAAATATACTCCCAGTTCAACTCGGGATTTCTCCAAGAAATTATTATTTCACGTATTTATGGACTAGACATAAATTTGTAAAAAAGATTCAGCTTTCTTATAGGAATAAAAATTTAAATATCTCAATTAGGGTGCATTCTACATGTACTTGAACATTATCTTATGCAATTTGCTGTTTTCTATGAAACAAAATATACAGTACTGTACTCTGTACTAGGTGGATAGTGCACTTATATAAACCCAACCTTTAAGGGTTAAGGTAAGGCAGGGGTGGTGAAACTATTGAGTTTGGGGGGCCACATCAGACTCATGAGGGGTCCTTGCAGGCCACCTATTATATTTCAGAGCAGTTAAAAATATTTGCAGATTTAATGGATATGACAGCAACCCTGAAACATCAGCCCAGTGCAGATACGTGGCAATGGAACTCCAACCTGTTTTTTGAGCTGGGCACGACTTTGCAAAGAAGCAGAAAGTATGGCTTTCTCTAATCAAATTAAAAAATCTGTGCTGAATGTTAATCCTTTGAACGAATCCACACTATAACGAAAGCAAGTTTTTACTACCCATTTGCCGATTAACAAAAGAATGTTCTACAACTGTATTATGAATGGTAAGTCACCCCACTTTTCTGCTTTCTCACCAACAGCTCCATGATCACCACCACTACCTCTATTATCACCACCTAAATCATTTCACCTTCCTGCCTCCCTTCCACCCACTGTGTCTCACCCCGACACTTGCCCCTCTCACTCATTCTACTATGCCTGTCATTCATGATAGCACAATATTGTAAAGTACTGTACGTACCTGTATTGTATTTTGTTTATTTGTTTTTCTCCCAACATAATTTAAAATTTATGTAACATAATGTAGAAGGAATACAACATTCCGTTGTATTCCTTCACACAATTTCACTTATTCTATGCTGTGGGTAGACGAGTTTGTGTTGCTGTGATGGCATAGTGGAGACTGAGAACAACTTATTATTTTGAGTCAGAGAAGCAGGGATGATCCTCGGTTTTGCTTGGCTGGGAGGCAGGAGGGGTGCGAGGAACAGGCTTGAAGAAGAAGTCCAGCTTAAGTTGCTTCCCTGCATTGTACTGCTTCCTTATAATAAGTTCTCTAAAAGTCTGAAAGTGTTCATAATAGTGGTGCAATTGAGGACTGGATGTGCTGTTAATATAAGTTAAAATGTTGTCGAGCAACTCTCGTACAACAGACAACTTAACGGTAGGCATCTTCACACGTAAACAGCACAGTGAGCATCAGAAATCTCCTCAGCTGAAAGCATCTGGTAACCTGGATCACCTGCATTCTCCTCCAACCACATCTCCACATCATCCATGGTTACATTTTCTCCACCAATGTGTAACATTTTATGAAAATCCGTTACCTCAAATCCCTAAAAGTCGAGTTCAAGTTCAGTATCAAGCAGAAGTTTTTTTCAGCTGTTAGCTAAGGTGGACATCTTGATGTCCTTCCACGAAACAGCAAAGTTAAATATGGCTGATTTCAATTTGTATTTCTTGATGTTGGCTAATGTATGTTGCCCTCTTGTGTCATTCACAACATCATCTTTGTCCTCCGGCACTACCAGCACTTCATCCAGGTACCTCCTCTGGTACAGCCTCTTGCATGACACACTAACTTCCTGGTCCATAGGCTGAATAATGGATGCAGTGTTGGGAGGCAGAAACAGGGCACGAATTTTACCATCACTGCTGACCAGTTTTTCAGCACTAGGGAGAGCTGGCGCATTTTCAATCAGCAGAATTGCTTTGACGTCTGCAGGATCCAACTTCATTACCTCCTCTTGGTATTTGCATACATTAGAGATGAAGTGCTTAAAAAAACAGTCACAAAAGATCTCACGATTAAATCATGCATTCTTGGAATTGTAGTAAATAACTGGCAACTGGCGCATAGACTTGCCAACAACAGCTAACTTTAAGAGGTGCATACCATTAGCATTACCACAGCATAATGCAAAACTGGGCTCTTTACTCACTTTGTGGCCAGGTGTGGATGCTTCATGATTAAAGGCTTGGGTGTTGTTGGGAAGTGACCGCCAAAATAGCCCTGTCTCATCAGCATTATAAACCTGTGCCAAGTTCAGCCCCTCGTCCTTGTTGAGTTGGTTTAACTTCTGCCAAAACGGCTCGAATTCTTTGATTTGAGCACTCCCAGCCTCACCGTGCAACTTCCTGTTACGTATGCCATGGCGATTCCGGAACCTCCACAGCCAACCATCACTTGCTTTGAATGGAATACCCAAATACTGAGCCTGTTTATCAGCTGCTTTAGCTATCTCCACGCCACAAACTTTAACCTCACACGCACGCTGCTGAACAAACCACTTGTACACTGCTTCTTCCAACTCTTTATCCTTTGGCACTTTCATATGCTTCCTTGCACTAGCTGCACTGGCACCATCACCGTCATACTTCATTACAAATGCAGTAAGTTTATCCTTGGTCTTGTGACACTGACATTCACTTATTTTGTCTCGAATTGACTATTGTAACTCTTTATGGGTCTGTCTACCTAATTATCAAATTAATAAAATTCAAACAGTGGTGAACAGGGTTGCCAGGCTTAGTTTTGCTCTCCTACCGAGGACTCCCACTACCCCATTCTTGATCGAATTAAATTGGGTTCCAATTAAAGCAAGGATAGAGTTCAAATTCTGTCTAATGACCTTTAACCCTTAAGCCCCGAGTTAGGGTGCTGCTGGCAGTACCCTCCCCCCGCAGGGATAAATCGAGAAAAAATTACCTTTTCCAAAAACAATTAAAAAATAAATAAAATAAAAAATAAATGGTTGGAAAATAGACAGACGTTCTGGAACGTCACCCGGGGTGTACTGGTCGGACGTTCTGGAACGTCACCCGTGGCCTAAGGGTTAAGACACTAATGTTCGGTGAGCCGAAGCATTTGGCCAACCTACTAATTCCTCTCACTGCACATTCTGAAATGATTTTGCATAGTGGTGATCCTTCACACCTTGGTAGAGGAATGTTCTTATGCTGCCCGATCCTTTTCCTATACAGCACCCAGACTGTACAATCGGTTGCCTGCATCCATGAAGCAGCTGACTTTTGTGGAGGCCTTTAAGAAACAATTGAAGACCTCTTTTTTTTTAAGCTCATAATCCTGAACAGGGTATGGTGATGGAGAAGTACAGGATTATAGAAGTACTGTACCTGTATTAAAACTTATGGGAATATGAATGATAAAAGTCAAACTGTCACGTTTTGTGATCTTTTATTGTAGTGCAGTATTTCTTTTTATTTTCAAGTCTTTGAATTTGTAGTGTTTCGAGCACTAGTGAATTCTTTAGAAGAACTGGCACTTTTGAGAGACTAAAGACCACCGATTATTATTATTATAGCAAATAATGCCATCACAACATTACCCAGCCTCAAAACAAAAATGATGGATATAAATTTACATGTGAAAGTGTTTACTGAAGATACACAGCCATTGTATCAGTAAATCTGAGCGGAATACCCTTGTATCATAGCCCTGGGTGACATATATACAATTATAAAAAAAAAAAATAATGCTAAATTTGGTGAGGAACTTACCTAAAATCGGCTAATACAAATGCTGTGTCCTTTATTCTCGAGTTAATGTTGGACAAGTCTGGGGACTCTTCAAGTTCCTTCTGTACTTCCTCCAGGCTAGGAATCTGGACTCCAACTTTTTCTGCTGCCTCCTCCAGGTAAGCATCACCAGCAGCACTAACAAAAAATATTAATAATTAGGACATTTTTATTTAATTCTTGCAAGTAATTTCCTTCTCTGGCACAAGTTGGCCAAAATCAAGAAAGCAAAAACTCTCCCTTTACTTGGTTACAGTATTAACTGCCTTAATAGAGATATTATTATACAGCACATAATTACATTTTACAAGACAAGTGAACCTAAAGAAAAAGTATGGCGTTATTTGCTAGACTTATGAACCTTGAGGCTTGCTGGTGAATGAAACTTTTTTTTAATATACTGTACTGCAAGAGCTATGAAAGTTGCCTATGTTGTACCTTGGCTGTTCAAAAGTTCTTAACTTGCCAATCATAAAAAATCATCAAAATAAAATTCAAACAAGAACTATATAGTACAAATATCCCTCGCTTAATGAATTGGTTAGGTTCCTGAAGAACTATGCGTAAAGTGAATTTTCGTTTCTTGAATAACAGAACATAAGAGAAAAATTGGGTTTGGTTCCTCAATGATAAGAAAACCCACATATCATACCCCAAAAACATTAAATCGGTTCAAGAACAAAAAAACCTACCTAACTAATGATAAATAGTATGCAACTACAGTAAAACCCCCATAATTCAAAATTATAGTGTCTCTAGCCCTTATGAATTACGAGATTTTATGCAATATGAGGGACACCTCCTGGTAGGGGAAGAAACTGCTTTTACAATATCTGCCCCAATCAAAATTTAAACATTTCTCAATCAAAATATAAATAGTCTAAGTACAACACCACATTCAGGTGCATGGGTTTGGGTTATCGGACATAATGGCTCAAACACTGGGCAATGATGGAAAAACAAGTGAGAAAAAGCTTACGCGGTAGATCTTCGATATACAGATAGACCCCGACTTACGACGGGGTGAGGGACCCAAATCCAGGTCGTAAGTCCGACATGGTCGTAAGTCCGACATAGATTAAAAAAAAAAAATTTTTTTTTTTTTTAATAAATAATCTACAATGAATTACAGTACAGTAAAAGTAATGAATAATGAGGAATGGATACAGTACAGTGAAAGTAATAAATAATAAGGAATGGTTACAATGTGACTGAGCACTTACCTTTAATGTAGTCAGCTGAATGCACATGGGGCCCCCATAATTTTATAATTATACATGGAGACTACATTAACTGGAAACGTTTCGGTATAGAAAATGCGTGTCATTTGAAAAAAAAAAAAAAAAAATTTCTTTTAATAAAAAATCTGCGGTGGTCGTAAGTCCCGACGGTCGTAAGTCGTAGCAGTCGTAAGTCGGGGTCTGTCTGTACTGTACACTCCACAGCTGACCAACATGAACTAACACTGACTGTGACCGACATGTGTGACCCGTATACTGTAGTACAGAACATGTTTACACTGAGGTGGCTGTCAGTGGTCACATCCCATAGCAAAATGTGCATCACATATATTCAAAAATGTCTTTCATAATCAGAAATTTTACCAAACATTATGAAAATTTTAATACAGTATCATACATATTGTAATACTGTATCTCGAAATATCTCATTCAAAATTTTTACCAAATATTATAAACTTTGTAATATACCCCATACTGTATATTTCATAACAGCAAAACATAGCAAATTATGAGTGATTTTGAATTTGGGGGGTACGAATTATGGGGGTCTTACTGTATAGGAATACCTTGCTGTTCACAACCCACCTTATTCACAATTGATATTTTAACACCCCTATTCCATATTCACAAAGCATACCCAGCTTATTCGCAAATGAAAAATTATGTTCACTTACAGTAATATTTCAAACTAGGCAGGCTAGCCATAGCTCTCATATTCTGACATAAGGTCCACTTCACACACGGGCGTTTTTTTTTTCACGCGTATGGACCCACGCAGTTTAGAAACGAATTAAGTTCAATGGGTTAGAGTCCAGGCGTGAAAATTCAAGTGCGGGAGATGCTCACTCCACGCCCGTACCTTTACTTCCAAACCGTGGCGTAAAAAAATACGCCGAGAGCTCTAGAATTCTTCATATGACAAGCATGTTTTTCAACTCGTATTTTCGGGTAGATACACGTACAGTCGACCCTCGTTAATTCGGACCCCTTTAATTCGGATTTCGGATAATTCGGACAAAATCTGATATTTTTTTATTTATTTATTTTTTGTTAAGATTTGTAGGAATATTACCTACGCGGACCTTAAGCTAAAATGCTGGTCCACCCACTGCTGGGATAAAACATGTAACATCTCCACCACTAGTGTGGGGGGGGGGATGCAACTTTTAGCTTCAGACATGAAAAATATTTACCATTTACTGCCAGTAAACAGTGGAAACGTAAAATATGTACCAATTAGTAATGAAAAGTTGTGCAGTTCCTTCAGCAAATGAAGCTCACCAACTTACAATAGGCTGAATTACCTTACAACGTGTTTTCAGTAGTCTATGTTGAAGTTCTTAGCTCATATCATATACGGTATCACAGTTCTCATTGATCTACAAAAAATACCGGTAATAAAAACCTTTTCGATATTTCACGCTTAATATAATACCCGATAATCTACTTCAACCTCCTATTGTTTACAACGACGCATGACGCACCACCAGCTGTTGAGTATCAGCTAGACAGTACACGTGTTTTTTGAATCGTTTTCAGTTAAAAAACTGTTACATCACATGTATATTTTACCATAACTGTGCCTGAATGAATATATTCTCGGAAATAAATAGTAGTTTTGCTGGAACGTGATGTATTTTAATGTAAAATAGGATAAAATACATGACGAAAACAAAAGATTTTACCTAACCTTCCGATGTTCAAGAGAAGTTATTCGTTTTTTAAGAGTTTTTGGCTAAAATACTGTTATATTACAATGGTATTCTATTCATACTGTGCTTGATATAATGCATTCACGGAAATGTAATATTTTTGCTGAAATGACGTACGTATTACAGTGGAAAGTGGGATAAAACCGTGACGAAAACAATGACCTTCGCTTTCTTTCGTTCAAAAGATGTCACCGTAATCGCTTTTCGATTGGTTTTCAGTTAAAAATCTGTTGTATTACAATAATATTCTATCTTAATTGACTTGAATAAATACTACGATACCATATTTCTGAATCTTTTCATTAAAATCCATCCAAATCAATTTCCTTGTCATCGTCTGCAGCACCAAACAGCTTCTCCCAGTCCTCTCCTTGAACAGGGCTAGAGGGTACGTGTTTTCGAATCGTTTTCAGTTAAAAGACTGTTACTTCACACATATATTTTACCTAAACTGCGCCTGAATGAATATATTCTCGGAAATAAATAGTAGTTTTGCTGGAACGTGATGTATTTTAATGTAAAATAGGATAAAATACATGACGAAAACAAAAGATTTTACCTAACCTTCCGATGTTCAAGAGAAGTTACTCGTTTTTTTTAATAGTTTTCGGTTAAAATACTGTTTTATTACAATGATATTCTATTCATACTGTGCTTGATATAATACATTCACGGAAATGTAATATTTTTGCTGAAATTAAGTACGTATTACAGTGGAAAGTGTGATAAAATCGTGACGAAAACAATGACTTTGAAATATACAGTGACCCCTCGTTTAACGAACGCCTCGGTTAACGAACTGCCTTCCATAAGGATCTTCAATTCAGTTAACGAACAAAAATTCGGTTAACGAATTTCTTACGAACTGACCTCAACATGTTTTCGCTTGCACTGACCGGGCAACCAGCTTTAGTATCAGTCCGCCAATACATTAATCGGTTCTAGGGCTTAAATTCCTTACTATTTTAGTAAATATCAAGAAGTTTATACTATTCAATAATTTTAAAAGTTTAATATTCAATTTTTTAGTCATTTTAACAATTATTGAACATAATTGAAGGTAAAGTGACTAGTTTAATGCGCGGCATCCAGCCTCTTAACACACCAAACAGGCGTTAGTCTCTCTCTGTTTTCACTGGAGGTAACATCTTGCTTGAGACTCTCTTCAACTAAATGCTTTTTTTCTGTGTTTCCAAGCAAATTATTGGTCATTTTGAAATACAGTATATTTTACATATTGACAATATATAATGCAGTGCACTGTTGATTTAAAGAAAATAATCTTGAATTACACCAAGAGAGCTAAAATTTTATGGGTGAAATGGCGCCATGGGGTGACTTCTCTTCCACCCCAATGCCTTCTCTTCTTCCTTCTCCTCCACCCCCATTCTAAATCCCATCATCATCATCATCATCATCAGGAGCCTTCTACATACACACCTCAAAGTAAGTGAACTTTTCTACCATTTTTGTTGAATTTAGGAAATTTTCGGTGAGCTGGAGCCAATTACCCAAAAACCCATTGAAACAATGGTTTCGGTTAACGAACTTTTCGGTTAACGAACGACCTTCTGGAACGGATTGAGTTCGTTAACCGAGGGGTCACTGTAATGCAATATTAACCCCTAAATCGGTTAATTCGGGCAATCGGCTAAAACGGACACCCTTCCTCCCCTATTAGTCCGAATTAACGAGGGTCGACTGTACAGGTATTTTCTTTTTTTTGCTTTTTACTCTTACATGCATACACAATGTTAAAAAAATGGTTTATCATAAGGTAAAAAACAAATATTAATAAAACATTTGCTATGAGTGCAGAAGTCACCCTGATTGTGTGAGTAGGGAATGGTGTTGGAGATCTCAGCTGCTCCAGTCTCCCGTGCATAGTGAAACTATTGCTAACTGGCACTGTGGTATTTTTTTTATATTATTAAAGGGTATAATTTTTATTCCTCACACTTCATGGTATTACAGTGTACACATGACCCTGGTCCTTAATAGCCTCAGATAATGAGATGTATACTGTACTGTATATTGAAAAATATGTGGAGAAAGTTTCCGGCTGGCAATGTAACCTCCCCCATTAACATTAATTCTTACGGGGAAAATTTCCCCAATATTTGCAGTTTTGTTAACCACAATGACTTTTAGGAAAGCATCCCTTGCAATAATCAGGGTATTCCTGTACTGTAATTTACTACCTAACACATTGAAATCATTAATACCCCTGTACTATCTAGATGAAAATATGCAGATAAAATCATTAAGGCAAAGCTAAATGAGAGTTTATCACAACTGCCATTTGCATAGATGCTGGCTACATGGCCACAAGCCGCGCCAAAGCAATGCAGCCCAGCTGGAACGCTGCCTCTGCCAACCCTAAGCAATGGGGCTTCCACACTCTGCTCCCTCCTCCCTTATGTCTTAGATAGTTATTTCTTTTAGCTGTAGGATTGTATGTGCATGTAAAAGAGTAAAAAATATAGTGAAGAAATTTAAATTTATATACCCAAAATTACGAGTTGAAAAATAACCATACCCCCCGGGGCTCATATTGCTAACTCTTGCTGGTGCATGAAAAAATGTTTATGCCCCTTATGTTTTTTACTTTACTATTTTTTGGGGCACATTCTGTATGTAGGATTGTGTGTTCATGTAACTCAGTAAAAAAAATATGAAGAAAGTTTTCTATATCTACCTGAAATTATGAGTTAAAAAATAACCACAACATAGCTCTCGTTTCAGCCTGGTAGGGAGAGGGAGAGGGCGAGGGGGATGTGGCTAGCCCAGCTGATTCCTGGGGGCGCTTGATTTGAATTTTTGCTTGGCCAAAATTAGTATAAGTAGAAGTTTTTGTTAAAAGAAAAAAGAGGTGTTAATTTTGTATTTTGCAAGTTTGTTTAGTGAAGGATATCTGTATAGCTATCATACATTATACATAAAACTGCTTCCTAAAATCTATGCCAGGATATTAAGAAGTTAAGTTAATAAAATCTAAAATTTAAAATGTTTATCAATATCTTACATGTTTTCTTTCTCTTTTTTTTCTAGCTTCTTTGATGCTTCTTCAATATCATGATCATCGTCATCATCTTCGTCATCAGCACTGTCCTCCTCTGCATTGTCATTCTCACTCTCCTCTCCTTCACTGCCATCATCACTCTCTTCATTTTCAAACAGAGCAAACTTTGTCTTGCTCTGGGAGACCTGTTGAACATGCTTTTGAGTTGTGGGTTGTTCTTCCAACTCATCTGAACTGTCTTGGCCTTCTCCTTCACTGTCCAGTTCATCCACTACAACACAGAAGAGCAACATGAAGTATAAATCACCTAAGCACTCATAGGGGTTCATTGAAATCTGCAAATAAACCCTGAAAAAAATTATGTTTCCTCTGGGTAGAGATATTGTGGACACCCTGCTGAGCTATTTGAAATGTAAAACATTATTTCAATTATCTTATTAACTTTAGATTATCTACTGTATCTACTGTACTTCCCACCATATAAAAATGTCTCCAAAAACCATGTCAATACAGGTAAACCTCTATTTGCAATGGGGTTAGGTTCCTGTAAACCCCATCACTGGTCAAAATATTGCAAATCAGGCTCATTATAACATGGGGTTAAATGGGATAGGTTTCTGGCTAGTCAGACACCCATATGTATCACCGAAAAGAAAAATCCTAGAATACTACTAGCACTACAACACAAGTAAATAACTCACCACAACATTAAGAATAAGTTTAATCATGATCACATGTCCCCTTCAATGCTAAAGGGACTCTTAAGGTGCAGTGGACACGCCAAACTGAGTCCCACACAGACTTTGGGAGTTTGAAGAGTGGGGACTGGAGGTGTAGCCATTGTCCTGGCCTTAAAGATGGTGAGCAAAATGCTTGCCAGACATTTTCAAAGTTACACTGGTCACTTCAGTCATATAAGCACAATAATAATGTATAGGAACTCAATTCTTTTATGAAAAAACATAAGAAATGTTGAGATGGACGCATGGTAGGGGATCAGTGGGTCTCATGTTAGTGACCTGACCTGATCAATGTCAGGTGGGGGTAGGGTATTAGTGATCTCATGCAAAGTCAGGTCACCCATTGTCAGAGTGGGGGATTAATGGGTCTCATGACCGGAAGATGTCTTGAATAAAGATGAAAGCTAAGTAGCAAATATATTTATGGCTAGCAAAAAAGTGTATAGGCTTGTATTCACAGCATCTTCTCTAATGGTGTTTGAGAAATGAATTTGGTTTCATTGCATATATGGAGATGAGTTCCTGATAACATTACTTTGTACCAATGAGATATACACAGCATATTGTATATAGATTGATTGACTGACTGTTGTAATTACATCCCCGGCGACGCAACAGCGTAGGTCATATGTTGCCGAATTAAAACTAAGGCTTAAAAGACTAAAATAAAATAATGCAAGGTAAAAACAATAAATAACACAGAACTTTCACAAGTCCATTTAAACATTAATAAATAAAACTCAAAGCTTCTGTAGAAGGCCGGCTTCCTCCACAAAGGAGAAGACGTCCCCTCCCATGTTAACCACTCCTCCCCCCAGCACCAAAGAGAGATGGTAAGACCCATCTCCCCGGAACTGGGATAGGTGCTTACAACAAAGATTTCTGAGACTGGGGCATTCCACCAGCATGTGTCAAACAGTTAATGGGATCTGGCAGTCATTACAATGGGGAGAGGACGTCCTCTTCATTAAAAAACCATGAGTCAGCCGTGTGTGGCAAATGTGGAGGGGGGCCAAAGCAGTCTCTCAGCGGCGTGACAGTCCCTGATATTCCCAGGCACCCAATGCAAGGTGGATGTCACAAAGCTTGTTTGCTCCAACAGCATCCCACCTGTATTTCCCACTCAAGCGGATGGCAGTTCTTATTACTGGTTTCATATAAGAGGCAGGTAGAGGGGAATGAATTGCCATTGGGCAAGAAGCAGCTGCTTTCGCCACAGCATCAGCACACTCATTCCCCTTCCCTCCCACAAGGGCCGGAACCCAGCAAAAATTGACTTTCCAGCCCCAACGTTGGATGATAACTAACCACTGTAAAATATCAATAACTGCGGGATGTGGCAATGAGACATTAGCTAAGGCCTGGAGAGCACTACGAGAACCAATAAAAATTGTAAAATCATTATGAGGTTGGGTAAAAATAATCTTGAGGGCAAGTAAAATAACAAAAAGTTCTGCAGTATAAAAATAGATACCATAGTGGGGAGACTACTGCCCCGACAGAAATTAGGAAAGACCAGCCCAAAACCCACCCCTGCATCCGACTTAAGAGCAGTTGGTGTATACAGGAATAGTCCCTCTGTGGGAGGAGCCATGCTCTAAAAAAAGAGAATGGACAACACAGGGAGGTTGTAAGCCCTTCTTTCCGTTAAAATACTGACAAACTTGAACTTCAGGGAGAATCCACGGAGCGGCACGAGGGAACCGCATGGGGCATATCTGAACAGCAGGAAGACAAAGAATTCTCAGAACTTCCCATACCCTGGAGCCAAAAGTTTGTGAGAGGCTTGGATGCTGAGTGTAGTGTGGGGACACCGTCTATAAAGGCTACAGGTATTAAAAAGGACAGATTATTATAGAAACATATCTTTACTAATTAATGAATAACAAATAAACAATATTGTGTCATGAATAAGTAATATAGTAGAGTGAGTGGAAGAGGCAAGAGTCAGAAGTGGGAGGTGAACTTTTAAGCCTAAAACCAACTTCACCCTCAAACTCCTTATCGCCTTCTGCGTGGGAGGATGGGGAGGAGGAGGCGAGATGTTCACAGCCAGGCGGGGAGATTAATGCGTACGTAGTTGTCAGGGATTATAAAAGGCACAGAGTTTTAGTTTTTCGCTTATAAAATGTCACTGACTTAGCAAAATATAATTTGCATTGCTGAAATTCTTGCAAGATAGCGATTAATTTGAGCTTAAACGTACCATAGTTTGTACTAGACATAAAAATTTTAGTAATTAACTTAGTACATTTGAGTACAGGTTGTGATAATTTATGAGTTTGCTCAGTTGTGGTTGCAGTTGCAAAGCTTTGTGACATCACTTGTGTATAATGTGTCTCCATATGTCCTGGTTTATTCATTGATCAGTTGTCTAAGTGCAAAAGTAGCCAAATCGAACCATTATGTATCAATTAATTTTAAAATAGAAATTATAAAGTAAAATGTTACAAGACAATGGTTTAGTCATACTGTTAATGTGTGTGCTGTGTAATGCCTCGTACACACCAAGATACATTGTCTAGAAACAGTCGCGCAGCAATGTTTCTGGACTGTTACGAGACAATCTAGAAAAAGTCACGAGACAGTCCAGAAACACTTGGGAGACATGGCAACATTGTTTTAGGCTGTCTAGCAAATGTTGCAAAACAGTCCAGAAACAATCAATAAACTTTGTTGCTGGACTGTCTCGAGATTGTTTTGCAACAGTCACGAGACAGTCCAAAAACATTGTTGCACGTCCAGACCAAGCTAGAGCGTTGAACTGGCGGGAAGAGCAGTTGACGTCGGCATGTCGGTGGATGCAGAAGTGGCCGCTGCGACGGGTGCCCGTGTTGTTATTTCCTTAGAAGAATGAAGGCGGAGAGCAAGTTAAAGACCTAGACGATGGTGAATGAAGAAATTTTCCGGTGAAGGAACAACTTATGGAGAAAAACTAATGACAGACCTGAAACTAGAAAATGCAGCTGGATTTAGAAACTTTTTAAGAACAGCTTCAGATTTTGAAATATTACTGAAAATGGTTGGTCCCAAAATCACAAAAGCAAAATACAAACTATCAAGCCTCAATCCCTGCCAAAATACGCCTGGCAGTAACATTAAGGTATCTTACCAGTGGGGACTCATTTACAAGCCTGATGTATACCTTCAGTGTCAAAACAGCCAATATTTGATCTCATTGATGCCATGAAGGAATTTGTAAATTAAGTTTATTAAAATATTTGACATATTGTATTGTAAAGGGAGAAAATAATACTATAAATGAAATTGCATAAAAAATAAATAAATTGGAAAAATCCTTTATTGTGCCATGCACATATCAATTACATACACCTACCTAAAGTAATACTATTCGTTGTTTTTCTTTAAGTTTTGTCTCCTTTTCATTCATCTTTTGTCTTTCTCTTTCTGTGTAAAAAAAAAGGTTACTGGCAAAAGTAAGAATAATTATTTCATGCAAATAAAAAGTATGTAGAAAATTCACTACAAAACATCATCCGACTTCTCATTATTTCTGAATGGCGTCTTTCTTTTGTCCTCTTTTTTTTTTAGTCTGTGCATGTGACATCCCACAAAGAAGGAGTAGCATGTAGCATCTCAATTACAGAAAGTGTTGTTTCAGTTATCCACATGATGCTGAAAATACAAGATATCAACTACATGTAGTACTGTTTACAAAGCAAACAATAATGCATGTAGTTCTCAAGTGTCAGCAAACCCATCTCACAGATCACAAGCTGAACGTCAACTGATCCTCCGTGTTGCCAAATACATCCAGATTGAGCAACTTTGCATCGTGTTTCCCATATGGGATGGGAAACAGAAACATCCGAAATAGTGCTTCTGGCCTGTTGCAAGACAGTCGTGCAACAGTCCAGAAACATTGTTGTGCGACTGTTTCTGGATAAAGTACTGTACCTTGGTGTGTACAAGGTCCTGAGACAGTGTTCCTGGACTGTTGCGAGACACTCATGCAACACATTTGGATTTTTCTTACAGTCGCGCAACAGTCCTGAGACAATGTTGCGCAACAATGTATCTCAGTGCGTACGCGGCCTTAAGTGTATTGGCATGTCAACTCACCACCTGACTCCATCACCTAACCCTTCGCCTCGTTAACATAGCTCGGAATCCAGTGATTTATTACCGTATTATTTTACCTTTTTTGTATTGTACAGTAGGCTCTCGCCAATAACGACTTCTACAATAACGTTTTCGACAATAACGGTAAGTTACAATAGATACCCATTTTCGATAATAACGTAAGGATTCTCTTGAATAACGGAAATTTTGCGAGAAGCGTCCGAGCGCATCAATGATAGTGCTTGTTTGCCGCCATGTTGATGACGTAGTTGTCCGCTCTGCCTCACTCTCACACACGCTCAGTGGAATACAACACTGCGCCCACATGTGAGATTTTCGCCTCTATAATCAGTGGTTGTTAGGGTCGGTGATCAATAATGGCTTCCGCATTTTTGCCTGTGGGGGCTAGGGGAGGTGGTGGAGGGAGTGATTTGCCACCTGAATGCAGGGAACTTTTAAAGTGAGGAAATTGAACTGTCCTGAGTCTACAGTGCGAAATATTAAGAGGAACTTAGCAGAGACCAAGAAGAGTATTGCGCTGGCTAAAAATATTTCGGTAGCGATGGAAATGCGAGGCGGGCTATGAATGATAAAGGCAATAGAAACAGGTTGTTAGTGATAACAGAGCAAATTCTTGTGAAATGGTGAGCTTGTAGAATGAAAGACAGTGCAAGTGTTAGCGGCCCTCAGATACGGAACAATCATCACACCAAGCACCTCAAAAACTCCCCCAAGCTAAGTGTTATATTACTCAAACTCTTTATTTTGATGATTGAATAGCAATTATTTTTATTTCAACTAACAAAAAGTGTTAGGAGGGCTTCAAGGGGAAAAATGGGTGAAATTCTTGTGGCGGCGGCACCAATAAACCCTTTTTACATGCATTTTAATGTCACACAAATAACGTTTTCGCTAATAACGGTGTTTTTCAGGCACCTATTAAACGTTATTGGTGAGAGCCTACTGTATGTACATTTAAAGAAATATTTTATTTGCACAGTAATTATGAATAAACCCAGAGCAGAAAAATCCAGGATGTAAGGATGCAGCTAAACATGATGCAATCTTTCATAACGCCAGGAAATCTTGTCCTCAGGCCCTGAGCAGAAAGGTTTCAAGTGATTTTCTTGCAATTTTCTTAGATTTTCTGGTAATTGCGCATTATTTCATAATCTATATTTGCTCCCAGACCCAGAAAAAAATTTTGGGAGATTTTCCTTTTTCTTTTTTTTTTCAGAAAATGTTCCTCATTTTCAACCTGGGAATTTGTTCCCAAAACCAGAATTTAGGGATTTTTCTTGAGGAAAAAAATAGAACAAATTTCAATTCCGGCTAATGGAGATATTACTTATTTGTACTGTAATTTCAAAATTAACAAGTTAATTGGGGAATCTCACCAACTAACTGAGGGTTAGCAAGCTGAGGCAGCAGCCACCCAGCTCACTCAGTTAAGATCACTCAAAAAGAACACTCTAGGGGTAAAGTTTGATGTTCTAATGCTGTAGCCATAACCATATTATGCATTTGAAAGAGGAAAAACATATGCTACTGATAAACACAACAAATGTTACAAGTTGTCAGTGTCTGTCTCACTTCACTGATAATTTGGGAGTTTTTACAACTAAGTTCATGAAACCCCAATACTGTAAAATGTCTTGCTCAATGATAACTGTTCTTCTAGGAAGAAAACACCGTAGAACAATTAATCTAAAGTAACTTAAAATGTAAGGTGAGCTAAGCTTGGGGACCACTGACAAAGAAGCTAATACATGCTTTTGGGGAAACAAAAAAAATTTCCTTGTTAAACATTCACAGTTAAGATTGGGGTGTGTCAAGTATGGCAGGAAATACAGTAGCTACCCTGCACATTTTATCAAGTCATTTATATAAAGTGAAGGAAAAGGTAATTAAAGCAGTCACCTCATATGCAGTTTGGAAAAGATAAAAATTGCAAGTACAGTACCGTACAATGGAACCTCTAAAATTTGAACAGATTGGAAGATGGCTCCTCCTGAATTTTGAATTTTTCCAAATTTTGGAAAAAACCAACAGAAATGTGTACAGTGCATACAAGTACCATACATTATACAGTATAGCAGGAAAGCATGCCAACTTCAAATAACATAAGATGGTAATGAATGCAGTAGCTACAGTGTAGCTACTAAGTTATGAACATTAATGATGGATTCCTGTATAAATATACTACACTGTACTAAAACTGGTAAAAATATGTGTACATTTGATTTACCGGTACGCTTTGAACATTGCAGAAATCATGCAAATTTTAGTGTTCCTCAATCTTTGGACTTCCAAATTTCAGAGTTCCATCTGTGCAAGGTTGAGAGAAAGAGAGGGAAGCAAAAGTTATGAAGGATATGAGAAAGATGGTGATAACAAAACACATCTGACCTAAAAGTGAGGAGAAGCAAGATGCGAGCTGTCCACTCCACAACTGAGGGCTTAATAAGACACAGTTAAAGAAGATAAAATTCACTACCATAACCCTAAGGAGTTGTTACTTATACTGTATAGGCCCCAGGTCCTATACATGTTGTTCCTACACTACTCATAAATCATCTTACCTTCTTCCTGTAATGGCTGCAATTTTTTTAATTTCTTTGCTGGATTCTCATCTTTACTGTTATTCTTATTTGCTCGTTTTTGGGCTCGTACTCTCTGCCGCCTGCTCAGCTTCTTCTCTTCATCATCTGCCAAGGAAGAAAAAACATCACAAACTAGAATTTTGTTTTGTAATAAAAAAAATCATTAATAGCTGTATACAGTGGGGTATGCTATAACGAACGGTTTTACCTATAAAATTGAGAATGCTATAACGAACGAAACTCCTACAACGAACATTATTTAAAATTTTTTTTTTTTTTTTTACTAATTTATTGTTTTTTTATTACAAGTATTAATGATATTGGTTATTTCAGGGGTTTAGATGCATATTTATGCACTTTTTTACAATTTTTACAATTTTATATTATATTTTTCAGTGTTAAGTGGTTGCATTTGGGGGCCTGGAACGGATTAATCCTATTACGAACGAATGCTATAACGAACAAGGTTCTAGAACCAATTAGATTCGTTATAGCATACCCCACTGTAATTTGTAAATAGCCGACAAACAACGGTCAAGCACCTACATTTGTTTATTGTTGTTTCATATAATAATGCTGATCCAGTGTAAGAGAAAAGAAATTTGAAAAAAAAGAGCACTGCATATTTTTACTGTAACTCATGGTCATATTCAGCAGTATGAGAACCACCACAGAGAAAGGTTTTATAGGGGTGTCAAATAATGCATGCACTGTAGGTGGCCAACCTAGGCACATGTCACACTGCTTAAGAGGACATCAAATTATGGTCAGTAGAAATAATTATTTTCATATACTGTACTATACTTTACTTTCGCCTACAGTGGGATTTCAGTGACCTCTGTATGTATGTACAGGTGTCCCCTGGGTTACGAAAGGGTTCCATTCCTGAAAATCTTTCCGTATGCGAAACCTTTTTTCCCATCGACTCTCATTATAAAAAGTGAGATGCGTTCCTATGGACAATTTTTGCGGCCCAAAGATGTAATACAAGCACATACCCGGTATATGAATGAAAATAGACACATACAATGATTCATTCAAGATGTAACATGACAATAAATGCACACACTTGAATTTAACTCAGCAGAAACGATGTTGAGTGCTGCAGGAGGTAGGGAGGTGAGGTGGTGTGATCAAGTTACTGGGAGTTACCCTCTTTAAAACATAAAGTTTAAGGTCCAATTCAATTCTTTTACAAAATTATTTATCACCAATGCTTTCACTTGATGGTCTTCTTCCACTCTTGTTGAATAAGGGTACACACTAAACAGTAACACAGACACACAACTGAACACAAGCTGGGGAAAGAATCTAAACTGAGCAACACCATTGTTGTTATGACTGCTGGTAGTTGGAGAGGTGTGCCATCTGCCAACGGTCATGTACCTGTAGATACAAACTAGAAGAGAAATCACCCCATGCTTCATGCCGTCATTTCACCCATAAAATTTTAAGTTCACTAGGTGAAATTCAAGATTATTTTCTTTAAATCGACACTGCACTGCACTATATATTGTCAATATGTTAAATAAATTTCAGAAAGACCAATAATTGTACTGTAAAAACGTAAAAATAGTTTATGTTCAAGAGAGCCACAAGCAAGATGTTACCTCCACTGACCAGAGATACAAACTGACGCCTTGCTGGGCGAGTCAAGTGGCTGATTGGCGCACCAAAAACTAGTTTCCTGTACTGCAATTATGTTAAATAAGTGTTAAAATGACTAAAAAATTTAATATAAAACTTGGAAAATTATTTAATAGTACAACCTTCTTGATATTTACTCAAATGGGAACAAATTTAAGCCCTAGAACCAATTACTGTATTGGCGGACTAATATTCCAGCTGGTGAGCAAGCGAAAACATGTTGACATGATTTCGTAAGAATTTCGTTAACCGAATTGAAGATTCTTATGGAAGGTAATTAGTTAACCGAATTGAAGATTCTTATGGAAGGTAATTCGGTAACCGAAATTTTGTTAACCACGGCGTTCGTTAACCGAGGGATCACTGTGTGTGTGTGTGTGTGTGTGTGTGTGTGTGTGTGTGTGTGTGTGTGTGTGTGTGTGTGTGTGTGTGTGTGTGTGTGTGTGTGTGTGTGTGTGTGTGTGTGTGTGTGTGTGTGTGTGTGTGTGTGTGTGTGTGTGTGTGTGTGTGTGTGTGTGTGTGTGTGTGTGTGTGTGTGTGTGTGTGTGTGTGTGTGTGTGTGTGTGTGTGTGTGTGTGTGTGTGTGTGTGTGTGTGTGTGTGTGTGTGTGTGTGTGTGTGTGTGTGTGTGTGTGTGTGTGTGTGTGTGTGTGTGTGTGTGTGTGTGTGTGTGTGTGTGTGTGTGTGTGTGTGTGTGTGTGTGTGTGTGTGTGTGTGTGTGTGTGTGTGTGTGTGTGTGTGTGTGTGTGTGTGTGTGTGTGTGTGTGTGTGTGTGTGTGTGTGTGTGTGTGTGTGTGTGTGTGTGTGTGTGTGTGTGTGTGTGTGTGTGTGTGTGTGTGTGTGTGTGTGTGTGTGTGTGTGTGTGTGTGTGTGTGTGTGTGTGTGTGTGTGTGTGTGTGTGTGTGTGTGTGTGTGTGTGTGTGTGTGTGTGTGTGTGTGTGTGTGTGTGTGTGTGTGTGTGTGTGTGTGTGTGTGTGTGTGTGTGTGTGTGTGTGTGTGTGTGTGTGTGTGTGTGTGTGTGTGTGTGTGTGTGTGTGTGTGTGTGTGTGTGTGTGTGTGTGTGTGTGTGTGTGTGTGTGTGTGTGTGTGTGTGTGTGTGTGTGTGTGTGTGTGTGTGTGTGTGTGTGTGTGTGTGTGTGTGTGTGTGTGTGTGTGTGTGTGTGTGTGTGTGTGTGTGTGTGTGTGTGTGTGTGTGTGTGTGTGTGTGTGTGTGTGTGTGTGTATGGGGTGATATATATATATATATATATATATATATATATATATATATATATATATATATGGTATATGATTCATAGAAATACAGGAGGGTGAGACCAGGTCACAATGATCAGGTATAGGTAATGACCCTACTAATCTTTAAATAGCACACAATGGTTGAATCAAGGTCAGTAATCCACTCTCACCTGTATTAAACAACCTATATATGGAATTCTTTGAAAAAACTATTAAGTAATATTTTTACCTTCAGCAGTCTGGTTTAGATATGTTGATGATGTATTATGTCTCTGGCAATGTAATGAGGACCTACACCGCGTGAGGCCCCGCATTACACCATCTGTGAAATTACTGCCACTACGTGAGGCCCCCAACACCATCTGTGGCACCGTGGGCCCCTATTCACCATCTGTGAAGGAATTACTACACCACGTGAGGTCCCTCATAACACCATCTGTGAGGGAATTACTACACCACGTGAGGCCCCGCATAACACCATCTGTGAGGGAATTACTACACCATGTGAGGCCCCTCATAACACCATCTGTGAGGGAACTATTACACCACGTGAGGTCCCTCCTAACATCATCTGGGAGGGAGTTACTACACTACGTGTTTGCTGTTCAACACCTACAATAATCTGTATGTTCACTGTATGTTCCTTTACCTTTCTCTAATGAAGGCTTTTGTTAAACCACCAATGTATGTAATAAGTCATTTATGTCCAATGTATATTTTCAGCCTTCGGGCTGCAGAACTTTTTCAATAAACCGTTAATTATTATTATTATTATTATTAAAAGCTTTCCTGCCACAACTTAACAACTTAGCCCCCTCGATCAAATTCACTGTGGAATTAGAGCAAGACTGTAAATTGCCATTCCTAGACTGTCTGATACACAGAATAGGTAACACTTTTAAGTTCAGTATTTATAGAAAACCAACTAATGTGTGTTCATACATTCATTACTATTCTGCCCACCATAATAAAGTCAAACAGTCAGTATTTTCAACAATGTTTTTACGTGCCTTGAGAATTTGCAGTCCGGAATTCATTGATGAGGAATACAAATATATATATAGAACTGATCCCAAGCCCACCCATGACCATAAGAATATCTTAATATTACCATTTCACAAAAATTTCTCACACATTCCTTCACAACTAAAAACATGGAACGTCAATGTGGCATTTAAAAACTCATGCACTGTTAAACAAATGTTAATCAAGAACTCCCCCAACAACACAATTGGTTGCATTTATAAAGTTCCTTGCAAGGAATGTAATATGTTTTACTTAGGCCAGACAGGTAAAGATCTTGCAACTAGAATTAAACAACACAAATACAGTGTTAGGACAGGCCAGGAATCCAATGCTCTGTTTGTTCATTTGAGGGATAACAAGCATTGCATTGACTGGGATAATGCCTCCTCAATATTACCATGTAATTCAATTGATAGTAGGAACATCATAGAATCTAGTCTTATTAAACATACCGAAGCATTCAACATGAATTTGAGTAACAGCATGTACAAGCTGGACAATTTTGTAATTAAGAAGATTTGTAACCAGGTGAGAAGGCCGGGTCACCTGACCATCTGACCTGACCACCAACTGTTGTGTGCTATTTAAAGATTAGTAGGGTCATTACCTAATACCTGACCATTGTGGACCTGGTCTCACCCTCCTCTGTATATATACACCTTGGTTTGTATTTCTCTCTCTAGTCTGTACTCACCCCTGAAGATGTGAATTACACGAAAGCGCTTGGGAACTTCGTGTTTTCTTCTTTCCTTGTGGTTATCAGCATATACCTAGATCACGCGCACCTACAGTGATTTTGCATATATATATATATATATATATATATATATATATATATATATATATATATATATATATATATATATATATATATATATATATATATATATATATATATATATATATATATATATATATATATATATATATATATATATATATATATATATATATATATATATATATATATACACACAGTGACCCCTCGTTTAACGAACGCCTCGGTTAACGAAATTTCGGTTAACGAACCGCCTTCCATAAGGATTTTCAATTCGGTTAACGAACAAAAATTCGGTTAACGAATTTCTTACGAACCGACCTCAACATGTTTTCGCTTGCACTGACCGGGCAACCAGCTTTAGTATCAGTCCGCCAATACATTAATCGGTTCTAGGGCTTAAATTCCTTACTATTTTA